AAATTGCCAATGCGTAAATATCACTGACACATCAAAATTCGCGAGAGCATAATTTTATCAATTTTCCATCAAATTTCGTACTTTTTGTTTTATTACCTTTAGAAAAAGATTCTCTACCATTTCATAAGAAAAATAAAATTATTTTTTGAAAATTCTTGGACCCTGGTGCACACCTTGAAATTTGGCTTCTGGACCCTTAAAGGGTTAAAGGAGGAGGCAGTTAGAGAAAGATATAAACCACTGTTGTAAGAAAGATGGGCTAGTGTTAGCATTCAGCAAAAGTGTCAGGTTACAGGAAAGTGGGTGCAGGAGGGAAGAAGAGCAGTTGGTGGAATGATGAGGTAAAGAGAGTAAGTAGTAAGAGAGAGGAAAAAGTTAACATATGAGAGTATTTTACAAAGTAGAAGTTACATAAGGAGGGAGGAGCATATGAAGAGAAAGAGAGGTGAAGAGAGTGGTGAAGGAATGTAAAAGGAGAGCAAATGAGAGAGTGGTTGAGGTGCTATCAACGAATTTTGCTGAGAATAAGAAAATGTTTTAGTGAGATAAATAAGTTGAAAAAGCCTAGAGAAAGAATGGATTTTACAGTTAAAAGCAGGAGAGGAGGGTTACTAGATGGAGAGTTGGAGGGAATATTTTGAGGAACTGTTAAAAGTTGATGAAGATAGAAACGTTGTGATTTCGTGCATTGGGCAGGTAGGTATAAGATCTTGTAGATGTGAGGAAGAGCCAGATGTGAGTGTGGAGGAGGTGTATGAGGCTGTGGGTATAATGAAAGGGGGGTAAAGCAGCTGGAATTGATGGGCTCAAGACAGAAATGTTAAAAGCAGGTGGGGATATAGTTTTGAAATGGTGGGTGCTTTTATTTAACTCTTAAACTGTCCAAACATAGATCTATGTTTGCTTGCGGAGCACTTTGAATGTAGATCTCCATTTTTTACATGCTTTCTTATGGAGAAAATCGAGGTCGGAGAGCTATGAGCGAAAACATAGATCTACGTTTGGACAGCTGAAGGGTTAATAAATGTATGAAAGAGGGGTAAGGTACCTAGGGATTGGCAGAGAGCATATATAGTTTCTTTGTATAAAGGCAAAAGGGACAAAAGAGAGTGCAAAAATTATAGGGGAATAAGCCTGTTGAGTATACCTGGTATGGTGTATGGTAGAATTATTACTGAAAGATTTAAGGAAGGGTGTGTAGACAAAGTGTTTACAGTGAAGCATATAGGTGAACAGTATTTAGATAAGGGTAAAGACTTTTTCATTGCACTTACGGATTTTGAAAAGGCATATGATAAGGTCAATAGGGAAGCAATGTGGCAAATGTTGCAAGTGTATGGAACAGGTGGTAGGCTACTGAAAGCAGTTAAAAGTTTTTACAAGGTTTGAGTATGTAGGAGAGAGAAGAGGTAAAAGTAGGCCTTAGACAGTAATGCGTGATGTCATCATGGTTTTTCAGTATGTTTACAGATGTAATTGTAAGAGAAGTGAATGCTAGGGTGTTGACAAAAGGTGTGGGATTAAGAGATAAAGAATCTAACACAAAGTGGGAGCTGTCACAATTTGCTTTTTGCTGATGACACTGTGCTTTTGGGAGATTCTGAAGAGAAGCTGCAGAGGTTGGTGAATGAGTTTGGAAGGATATGTAAAAGAAGGAAACTAAGAGTGAACATAGGAAAGAACAAGGTGATGAGGATAACAAAAAATTTAGGTAATGAAAGATTGGATATCAGATTGGAATGAGAGAGTATGAAGGAAGTGAATGTATTCAGATATTTGGGAGTGAACTTGTCAGGAGAAAGATGAGGTGAATCATAGAATTGATGAGGGGAGAAAAAGGTGAGTGGTGCACTGAGGAGTCCATGAAGACAAAGAGCATTAGCCATGGAAGCAGAGGGAAATGTATGAGAGTATAGTGGTACCAACACTATAGAATGACTTGAAGGTCGTATAAATCTGTAGGTGTTATCCTAGGAAAGGTTGGTGGGAGGGGATAAAGGAGGGTTTGTGTGCAAGGGGGGTTAGACTTCCAGCAAGTGTGCATGAACGTGTTAGGAGCGAGTAGAGGCAAATGGTTTCTATGACCTGACATGCTGTTGGAGTATGAGCAAAGTAACATTTATGAAGGGATTCAGGGAAACAGGTTAGCCGGATTTAAGTCCTGGAGGTAGGAAGTACAGTGCCTGCACTCTGAAGGAGGAGTGGAGATATGTTGCAGTTTCTTAACTGTAGTGTAGGCATACCTCTGGCAAGACAGTGATGGAGTGAATGATGATGAAAGTGTTTCTTCTTTTTTGGGTCGCCCTGCCTTGGTGGGAAATGGCCGATGTGTTAATAAAAAAATATTGTATACAATTATTGTAATGATAAGTCTACATAATTCACCATCAATGTATGCTTATAAGAAGTGTGTTCTTCTAAAATTTTTGTATGTACATATTCATTATATGTATATACTATATTGTCCAACATAACTAATCTTCTGTTATTTTAACTTCCCTTCCCTTTTTACTTTGTAAAGTACTGTTCATCCAGCTGAACCCTGAACAGTGCTGAATGAGCTTTTAAGTTTTGTGCTTTTAGTGAATATAAATGCTGTATTACAGGTCCTCCATCACAAATCCGGCATCATTGGGACCTGTAATGTGCCGGATTACTGAGTTTGCCAGATTACAGAGTGGTTAGGTTAGAATACACTTAATAAAATTAACCTACTTGACTTACACAAAGTTCATTGAACATCGGCAAAAATCGAATATTTCCGCTACTTTGAGCTCAATTTCAAGGTATTTTTCATCATGAAAGCAATCAAAATCATGTCTATTTCTGTAATATATGTTCCATTCTATCAAATGAGACCAAAAAATGAGAATGCAACCATTAAAAACCATACGAAAATATACCACAAAGAGGCGGCTAATGGCTGAGAAGTGAACTCCCTTATTTATCGTCCATCTTTTTTATTTTTGGTGTATGTTAAGAAGCATCTTTCCATCATACATTGCCCAAGTTTCAATGAGATAGCCCAACAAATAACTGAGAAAAAAAAAATTTACCAAAAATCATGGCAAGCCCAAGCCAGGTACTGGAAATAAGTCACTTTGTCTGACTTTTTTGGGTTATCCTAGGTTCTCTGTACATATGCTGCTATGTATGATACTCTATGAAACTGTATTTGTGTATAGTACCTTAATAAACTTACTTCTAGTCTGTCGACTGAGTACAAGAAACTGCCCATTCACCTATTTCAACTACTCAATAAAGAGGTCAGAAACTGGCAATTTGGCTAATTTCACAGATGCCAATTTCAAAATAGGGTTCAGAATAGACAATGCAGACATTCCTCGCACTAAAACAACATTTTCTCTGTTCATTAGTCATGGCTCCAGGCCCCTCTTATATTACTCTTGCTTACCATTTGGAATTTTTATTCACACACACAAAAAAAAAATAGAAGATTTAATGTTATACAGGCTATTGCATTATTGTTATTGTATAAATAACGTCAACCCATTCTTGACTGCACATTGGAATTTGGACTGGCAGGTGGACAGGTACTGGACGGTGACGTCATTTGTTTACTTGAGCATCGCTAAAGAATAGAACTTTTCTGCTACTGTGAGTGCAATTTCAAGGTACTTTTCGTCATGAAAGCAATCAAAATCATATCTATTTCTGTAATATATCTTCCATTCTATCAAATGAGACTGAAAAAACGAGAATATAACCATAAAAACCATACAAAAATATACCGCTAAGCGGCCGCTAATGGCTGAGAAGTGAACCCCGCTATTTATGGTCTGATTTCTTTCATTTTTGGTGTACATTAAGAAGTATCTTTCCATCATACATTGCCCAAGTTTCAATAAGATAACCCAACAAACAAATGAGAAAATAACAATAATAATAATAATAATAATAATTTACTACACGTACATGCAAATGAGGTACAGACATAGCTGACATCAGTGACATACTACTATATAGAAAGCTGCTTGTTATGCAGAGTATTTCAAGTAATTTAGGTCAGTGTCCCAGGATAACACCCACACCAGTCGACTAACACCCAGGTACCCATTTACTGATGGGTGAACATAGACAACAGGTGTAAAGAAACTCCCAGTGTTTCTACCCTGGCTGGGAATCTAATATTTACCAAAAATCGTATATGGCTAACCCAAGCCAGGTACTAGAAAAAAGCCATGTTGTCTGACTTTTTTGGGTTATCCTAGGTTCTTTACACATATGCTGCTATGTGTGGTAATCTATATACAGAAAATAGCTTTTTTGTTTCAGGTTTATGGTGCAGTACGAGTGTATATCACAGCCCTGTGCTACACTCCATTTTCTCTAATACATATAAGCCCCAAGACAGAGATAGGAGAATGGTACTTGTATCTTGTATCCTCTTCATACCTCCGTCGAACTGCTCGGTATTATGCCAAATATTATTCATTCTGGAGTATTTAACATGTTTTATGTTTTTTATATTGTTTATTATGTCATATTAGATCAACTGTGATAGGCAATAAGCTGTAGGGTTGATATTAGCGTAATAATAAAGCATATTCTCCTGCATCACGAGACTGAGCTCATAGCAACCGAGAGTGGCTTCAAAGCCACCTTATCTTTAATGGACAATGTACTGTGTAGGTGCTTTACACAATGAAAAGCATTTCTTTTATTCATTGGAACCATGGCTAGGGCTAAAAGTAAGCTAGTTATAACAATAAATGGAGAAAAAGATATTAGAATGACTTATGCAGCAAGTAGCGCCACCAAACAGTACCAGCAGGTTGGTGTGGCGACCCTGGAAATTTGAAATTATGCTAGCCAAAATTAGTGCCGAATAACTGAAGGAACCAAATAACTGACTGCCGGATTTCTGATGGCGGACCTGTATTATATTCTTGCTAAAAATTTACCTCAAATGGAAGTTCCATTAGTTTGATAAATAATACAGTATTGTATTTTATAATTAAAAAATCCCATTTTTACAGGGCTTTGGATAAAAGAAGCAGATTATCGTGAACAAGCAGATGTTCGGTTCAAGCACCAGGTGCTTATAATTACTGATACATCATCAGGATCAATTGTGTGGTCTACCAACTCTGCATTTAATTCTCTAATGGAGAATTACCTTCGAATTCCCATAGTTAAAGTTAGTGAGATTTTTTAAAAGTCTGAAGTAGTGTTGCAAAACTTACCATTCATAGAGCATCCTTTTCTAAATATCTGCATTAGTGTTACAAAACTTATTATTCATAATGTACTATATCCTTTTGTAATTAAAAGTAAGCATTTTATGTACTGTTGGGTATTCTCATTTAGGAAGTGTGTATGAGTAGTCCATTTTTGAGCTTGGAGCAGCTAAAATTCAGACATAATGAATTAAAGTTAGAGATAGGGTGAGCTGTATAAAGAAGCTGAATAGGTAGTAATATTTTAAATTAAGTGGTACTTTCTTACAAATGTTTTGAGGTATGGGCAAAAGGTACCTTAAATGTCATTTTCTGTGTTGTCCCTAATACATTATATACAGTACTACATTAATACTTATTTGTGTTAACCACTTCACTATCACAGCCCCAAAAAATTAAAAGTGCTGACAGTATCACAATTAAAAAAAAAAAAAAAAACAAAAAGAGCATATTTTGGTGGTTGTAACAAGGTAAAAAAATTCTCATCAGTGGTTACTAAGATGTGAAGGTGTCAAGTTGAAGGTTGTTGACCCACTGATGGCCAAATCAGTGACTGCTGTGAGCTCTGTATGACTTTTTTTTTTTTTTTTTTTACATTTCTGGGGTTTTAAAATTTTTTAAATTTTCCAGTAACTGTTGTGGCCCATAAGACCCAAATCATGCATAATGTATGTATTGTTACCCATTACGTATATTCAACACTGTACACAGTGTACGCAAATGGGGCAAACTCTTCCGCACAACCAATTACAGTTGGTGTCCCACAGCGAAGTGTCCTTGGCCCTCTTCTCTTTCTCCTATACATAAATGACCTACCAAATGCTTCGCAATTACTCAAACCCACACTTCTTGCAGATGACACTACATACGTCTTCTCTCACCTGAGCCCAGTCGCGCTAGCCAATACTGTAAATACCGAATTACAGAAAATATCTACCTGGATGAGGACTAACAAACTTACACTAAATATTGACAAAACCTACTTCATTCAGTTTGGTAACAGAGCTACAGATGTCCCTCTTAACATAATGATAAACGGATCACCTATCACAAAGCTAACAGAGGGAAAATTCTTAGGAATCCACCTTGATAATAGACTCAAATTTCATACACATATACAACAAATTTCTAAGAAAATTTCCAAGACCGTAGGCATACTATCGAAGATACGGTACTATGTTCCACAGTCAGCCCTCCTGGCCCTATATCACTCTCTTATTTACCCCTATCTCACCTATGAAATTTGTGCATGGTGCTCAACAACAATTAACCATCTCAGACCACTAATTACCCAACAAAAGGCTGCAGTCAGAATGATAACAAATTCCCACTACAGGCAGCACACTCCACCAATATTCAAAACACTAAACCTACTCACCATACAAAACATCCATACTTATTACTGCACCTATTACATACATAGAACACTTAACTCTGATATTAACCCTCCCCTCAAACATCTCCTTGCCAACCTCAACAGAACACATGACGATAACACAAGGCACAGATCACTCTTTGATGTTCCTCGTGTCCATCTCACGCTATGCAAAAACTCAATGTACATAAAAGGCCCTAAAATCTGGAATTCATTACCTGTAAATATAAAAGAAACACTACCTGTTTATAAATTCAAGTCTCTTTCTCAAAGATCACTTACTCACCCAAAACCAAATAAATACTGAATAACTGAACCTTATAAATTGTATATCTTAAATGTTTCTCGAAATTATATCACATAAATGTTAAACCTAAGACCCAATCTAACTTTGTTATTTTTTAAATACACTACCTAACAGAATACTCCTTTCTACTGAATGTACAGCAATGCATGCAACCATATAACCTGTCTTTGTAATACTCATTTGTGCTTTATTGTTATCTGTTTACAATAATTTATTTATTTATTTATTTATTTATTTCCAATTTGTGCACACATACAGAGGTACAAAAAAAATACAGATAAGAGCAGTATGCCAAAGCCACTTATACTATGCATAGCATTACGGGCTGGCTTAAAATTAACTTAAGATTAACTAAGCAATGATTATTATTATTATTATAATCAAAAAGAAGCGCTAAGCCACAAGGACTATACAGCGCTGCTACTAAGCAATGATGAAATCAGTGATAAAACATTAATGTAAACAGATAACTATAAAGCACAAGTGAGTATTACAAAGACAGGTCATATGGTTGCATTCAGTTAGGTAGTGTATTTAAAAAATAATAAAGTTAGATTGGGTTTTAGGTTTAACATTTATGTGATATAATTGTGAGAAACATTTAAGATATACAATTTATAATGTTCAGTTATTCAGTATTTATTTGGTTTTGGGTGAGTAAGTAATCTTTGAGAAGAGACTTGAATTTATAAACAGGTTGTGTTTCTTTTATATTTACAGGTAATGAATTCCAGATTTTAGGGCCTTTTATGTGCATTGAGTTTTTGCATAGTGTGAGATGGACACGAGGAACATCAAAGAGTGATCTGTGCCTTGTGTTATGGTAATGTGTTCTGTTGAGGTTGGCAAGGAGATGTTTGAGGGGAGGGTTAATATCAGAGTTAAGTGTTCTATGTATGTAATAGGTGCAGTAATAAGTATGGATGTTTTGTATGGTGAGTAGGTTTAGTGTATTGAATATTGGTGGAGTGTGCTGCCTGTAGTGAGAATTTGTTATCATTCTAACTGCAGCCTTTTGTTGGGTAATTAGTGGTCTGAGATGGTTAATTGTTGTTGAGCCCCATGCACAAATTCCATAGGTGAGATAGGGGTAAATAAGAGAGTGATATAGGGCCAGGAGGGCTGACTGTGGAACATAGTACCGTATCTTCGATAGTATGCCTACAGTCTTGGAAATTTTCTTAGAAATTTGATGTATATGTGTATGAAATTTGAGTCTATTATCAAGGTGGATTCCTAAGAATTTTCCCTCTGTTAGTTTTGTGATAGGTGATCCATTTATCATTATGTTAAGAGGGACATCTGTAGCTCTGTTACCAAACTGAATGAAGTAGGTTTTGTCAATGTTTAGTGTAAGTTTGTTAGTCCTCATCCAGGTAGATATTTTCTGTAATTCGGTATTTACAGTATTGGCTAGCGTGACTGGGCTCGGGTGAGAGAAGACGTATGTAGTGTCATCTGCAAATAGTGTGGGTTTGAGTAATTGCGAAGCATTTGGAAGGTCATTTATGTATAGGAGAAAGAGAAGAGGGCCAAGGACACTTCCCTGTGGGACACCAACTGTAATTGGTTGTGCAGAAGAGTTTGTTTTATCACTGATTACATCATTGCTTAGTTAATCTTAAGTTAATTTTAAGCCAGCCCGTAATGCTATGCATACAAGTGGCTTTGGCATGCTGCTGTTACCTGTATTTTTTTGTACCTCTGTATGTATGTTCAAATTATTAAATAAATAAATAAATAAAAACAGTGTCATAAATACAGTGGAACCTCGGTTTTCGTCTTTAATTCGTTCCAGAGAGTCTGACGAAAACCGAATTTGACTAAAACTGAAGAAATATTTCCCATAAAAAAAAAAAAAATAATGTCAATCCAATTAATCCGTTCCAGAGACCCAAAAATATTAACAAAAAATTCATTTATAGAGAATAACTATAGTTTTACATACAGAAAACAATGAGAAATAAATATAAAGCACTAATGATATGGATAAATGAACATTTAAATCACCTTTATCTTTATTGAAGACTTTTGTTGGCATATGGAAGACGGCAAGGAGGGGAGAGGGAGGAGAGGTTATCTCTGCCACCATCACTACCACCTTCTACCACAATCACTACCACCCTCTACCACAATCACTACCACCCTCTACCACCATCATAACCACTACCACCCTCTACCACCATTGAATTCTATCGTGTTTCTCACCTTCTTTATCAAAGGGCTGGCACTCGGTACTTTCTTTGGCCCCATGGTGGCTTATTTAGCAGTCGCACTCAATAAACAAGCACAAAAACAATGGATTATTACGAAATGTTTCATATGAATGCTCAGGGTAATGTTCACTTGACGAGAAACAAAGCCAGATTGACTCAGACTGCGTGTGTGGGATGCTTTGTGTGGGCGCGCACAGACGGACATGTTCGGTGCGGCAGATGAAAACTGAGGTGATGAACAAAAACTGGGACAATATTTTGATGAAAAAAGTCGTCGAAAACCGAATTCAACAAAAACCAGGGCAAACGAAAACCGAAGTTCCACTGTATATTGTTTACAAAATTTTTTACACAGCAATGTAAACACACATCCAGATGCTTCACGTTATTACTGTTCTAACATTTGTGCACATATATACAGGCACTGGTCATGTTCTGAGAACTGTTTGCAGTCTGTGGGTGTTCTTGAAACACCTCTTCATACACAGTGGCATTTTACACTCCCTACATACAAAGTGTCCCCCTTCACTTTGCTAGGCAACTTGTTGTGTGTGCACAGCATAACATCTCTTTTGAATCCATTTCTTGTTTGGAGCAGAAATATAGTTAGGAAGTGATCACTGAACTTCACTTGAGAGGATATTTGGTGATCAGTATGGTGGCACATTTGTTGTGCAGGTATTGTGACCTGGTATTTCTGAATTAGTTTTCTGTTTGCCAGTCTTGATCTAGTTCATATTGTATGCATTCCACAAGAAGGAAGAAAAGTTTCTTGTACCACTTGTAACTCTTGCAGACAATCAGCAAACCCAATGTTCATGCTGCATTTGTCCAAATCTACATGTTGCATATTGGTGGTGTAATCCATGACAGTAGCTTGTCTCACAATAGGTTCATTTGTGTGTCTGTTCACTTTTCCTGTGCCTTTCATTCTGTACTGGTGAATCAGTGCTGCATCACATTTGGCATGCTACACAATACACAAATAACCCGCACAGTACCAGTACCAATGCCTGTGTTGAACATAGGCATTTGTTTACATGTTCCACACTGTATCACACA